ATGGAATCAATAAAAAATATCAGCTTGAAGAACATTAGTTGCTCTTTCAAATTTCTCCAAAATCTTTATTTTAAATCATATTTAATAAAGTTATTGTTCATACATGAGTTGTTGAACACACTACATAGTTTGTAATTTCATTCAGCTTATTTCAGCCATAATTCAAGACAAATAAAAGGCAAAATGATGCAATATTCTTCTTAATCGGTAATTATAAAAAAATATTTATGGGTGCATAGGGAATACATTTCGTTATGGATTACTATATATAAATGTTATTATTACATTTATTTTGTCAAAAAAGATAGGATCTCAAAATGTCGAAAACGGGAAGTCTTTATCGCAGTATCTACTCCTATCATCATTTAGTATACATGACAATCTTCAATATGAAGATGTGCAATGCATGATATGAATTCGTATGAATGGGCGTAGCTTGTTCCCTCTTCAAAAAAAACGGAGGACCAAGACTATCTTCAATTGGATCAATGAACATAAGGACAAGAGTTTTTGCTAACTAAAACAGTACTTTGTTCCTCTGGAAAATTCTTGAATGCATATTACCAGGCCCTGGAGTTTAGACTATATTGAGCACGGTTAGCTTCATTCTAATTGGCTTCTCGGTGACGTTAATATTTTCCTAGGGATTAAGGAATGGCAATTGATTCATTACAGGAAAGATGTGTAACGAATCAGTTGTTACACTGTCTTTCAGCAAGTCAGAATTTTCACTGTCACTTGATGAAATTTAACGAGTAGCTTCATTTAAAAAAAGGAATCAGTTGTCTTTTAATGTTCAGTCGTTTGCTCACCTTCAAAATGACTTAGAATTACGTTTATCATATTTTGTATTTTCTACCTAAACTATGATTGCACTTCTGGGAGCTTGTCTTGCTTGATTTCTAAAACTAGCAGTCGTTTTATGATACGATGGTATGAAGATATGTGCTCTAGTTGTTTTGTTTTTTTTATATTTTGCTTTAACTTATTTAAGGGAAGCAGTAATCATTCACAGATTTCTTATATATCTGTAGTTGTCACAGTATGGTTTATGAATATTCTGAATATGGTCACACCTATAAACTGTATCAATAGAAAATATATCATGCTTACTTGACTTAGGTACTGCTTAACACCCCCCCCTCCACTGAATTCTTATTAGATGCGATGATGAGGTCCATCATACTTGATATATAACCGAGTCTATGACGATTTGGCCGATGTTGGTGGTGAGTGCCAAGAAAACGTTAGGGCATGTTAGCAATCGTTCCTCCGTTGAATTTAACGGGCTACGATAAATGCACCACACATACATGTACTATCTCTGAGTCCAATATCATGAATAAATAGATTTATTAAATGTAGAAGAAATACAAATTTCCAATGTTCCAAGTAATTAATGAATATAAAGCAGTACTCCTCTCCCGGAGTATGACAAGTTAGGATAAACAACATAATTGTCAAGTTTGAACCTGGAGGCTGACCTTCCCTGGATCGTACTTTTAAGTCATCTCGATCAGGTTTTGATGACAGAAAAATATATCATGATTACAGTCTGGAAAAACATATGCACAGAAGGTATGAATGACAGAAAAATATATCATTAATAAACAATGAGATACGTCACCCCACTACTAGGAAATTGACAGAGGGCGATATATCACGTAAGACAACCTAGGCTATTAGGGCGCTATATCATATAGAAGAGACTATAATATGTTAGCGCATAGTATTAGACATACACCAAACGTTTATATTCCTGTCCACAATATAACGGCAAAATGCTGTACTGTCAAGATCAATACAAATTATCAACGAATGTCATCTGCAATGCAATCTGCGGTGACTGTCTGAAACCATTTTCGTGTGTGTCGCTCTAAACTTGTGTAAAGAGCATGTTTATTTAAATATGGTCAAGCAAGACGGTCGTGATATGGAAAACTATTACACGATTGGCTCATAGCATTGTGAGGTCGGGCAATACGAGGTAAATGATGAAATAATATCACACGCAACTCGCGGTTCCAGTTCATGGTTCAATTTGTTTATCTAATATAGGTTTATATCAAATCATAGGATCAATCCCAAAGCCGGGGCGAGTGTGTCGGGGGGGGGGGGCAACTCTACTGGACAGATTCATATATTAATGAATGTGATTTTTAACCTTAGTTAAAATCTCATGTGAATGAGTTCGACCAAAAATAAATATATCGTACTCAAATTGAATCCAAAATAAGCAAAAATTGTCACATATTACATATTTAGTTTGTTACTGTGCTTCTCTCTGTGGTCGGTTGCTTTAAATCGTCTGTACCACAAGGGCTCGTCGACCGACTGACCGCGAAAGCCCCTAGACGAGTTCTCGCCCAGGCTCTTTCGCGGTCAGTCGACGAGCCCCTGTGGTCTGTACTGCTGTTCGCCTTGCGCCGTGAGACTGCAAAAATCAGTGAGTGTGTTTTGAAAGCCGAAGAAAATGAATAAATCACGTACTACATCATAACGGTCACTGTATTTTGATTATTAAATGTAGCAAAGTAACCAGCATTTACAGTAAAGGAAAATTGATACTTGTTTACTATATATTGTGCCCTGAGTATGTCACACCTATTAAGTAATGACGAGTAAAGAGTTGTGTAACTATGAAACATTTAATGCATATTTTTGAGAGAACTACGAGAACAAGAATTTAGAACAGAGATGCCGAAAAGTGGTGATGTGACTATCAGTGAGAAAGTAGTGAGAAATAATCTCGGACTGATTGGACTGGTTAATATAATACAAAAGTAACAAAATAAATTAGAAAATGGATTGTGAAATACTTTAAACAGTGTATGAATATTTAGTGTGGAATGATACAGGTCACGCCAACGTATCGTGTCCAGTGCGCACTGATCATGAAACCGAAGTGACCCCATAGCGTGCGCCAGCTGACGATGGAAATACAACAAACTTTTGTTTTTTTACAAAGAACTTGGAAATGTTACTGAACTCGTAGATTCGGGCATGGTGGTCGAAGGCACTCTTTTGTGCTATGTTGATCTTTAGAAAGCTCCGTCACCATCATTGCTTCAAAACACAGAATATAAAGTCGTGAAATGAGCTGGCTTCAACTGGCATGCCGTATAGTGGAATGGCATGACGCACTGGGAAATGGCACAGTTACTTGGGGGATGAAAATTAATAAATACTAATTTAAAAAAAAAAATCTTCCGCTATACGTATATAAATATATTTTTTTAAATCTTCCGCTATACGTATATAAATATTTATTTATATACGTATAGCGGAAGATTTTTTTTTTAAATTAGTATTTATTAATTTTCAGCTCCCAAGTGACTGTGGGAAATGGCATGTTTTGCCGTCAAATTGCATGACGCATAGCTGAATGATATGACCCGGGGCATGGCGCGTATTACTACAGGAATTGCGTTCTTTAAGCGCCTGATCACTTTGGACTCACAATGACGCGTACGTCGCGATGAATAGTGGCGTTCGGAACACCGCCACGTGTGCCATTACAATAATTTTATTGATGGAGTATGCAGACTGTGCTTCTCTCTGTGGTCGGTTGCTGTGGGTGGTCGCATCGCATAGTGAGAGTGCACTAATCAGTGAGTGTGTTTTGAAACCCGAATAAAACGAATAAATCACGTATTACATAGCGGTCTGCACTCATTGCCGTTAGTCGCGGCAATCTCATACTATCATTACGACTGTGCCAGCCGGGTGTGCCAGTTGCGTCGCGTCGTGTCGTGTCGGAAGTATTGCGAGGCGTGCTTAGTAGTGCTCTGGCACTGCCTTAATTACGCGACAGACAGAGAACGGCATATATTATAAGTGCATTATTAAATATACAGTTTTCCTGCTCGAATAACATGTATAAGGATTATACAATAATTAATTGAAGGTCACGATCGCAACTGAGTCAGCACCGTAGCGGCACTAATTAGCATAATGCACGGCATATATTTGTCATCGCCACGTTGATAATATTGTTATTAAAGTGCGTGATTCATATGGACTTTTATGTATGTATATAATAACGCATGAACCGTATATATTTTTGTTTTAATAACTTATTAGTATAATATTAGAAATCAATTAATTTACAATTTATGATATATGTTTATTTATGTTATTTGTGTTATTTAGGACAAATCAGTGAAAGTGGAAAACAATTACATATCAGCCCATTTTGTGTTTTTCATTGGAAATCATAGTTGTAATATTGTTAGTGCAGCTGTCAAAAATAAAAGAAATAGTCTTTTTATTTTTATTTTTAAATAAAAATAGTTGTGTTGTTTTGATTATTCAACATGGTCGATTTGTTTTAACGTCATACATTACTAGCGAGCTCAGTTGGCCTGAAACACAAGTGGTCCAAATGTATTCAAAGAAGAAATATTTTCATATACGAGCGTGACCGCTATTACGACTATGATAATAACACACGGCTATTAGAGTTATACACGTTTACTGGCAAGATCTATAAACGAAAGAAAAATGTCCTAGAAGCAAATGATAGTAAAACACGACACGATACATATCCAGTGTCAATCGTGTACAGCTGTCGCTGTGAATTTAAAATCAAATACGTTTTCAGATTGCACGATACAAGCTACACGTCACTGGGGTACCGGGTGTGCCCGACTTAACGATGACGTCACGATTCCATTCTCTATAAATAATACATAAGGGTTCCACGTCTCATAGCTAAGTAAGATGGCGGTGTTCATGATGTCGGTTGTCAAAAGAGCTCTCTTGTTTTTGGTCGTATTTTGTGTACTTTCAACGGAATTCATCACTGGTTCACCAATTGTCAAGCGGGACTTACAGCCAGGTCAGTTAGATTGGAATGTTCGTTCTGAGGCAATTAGATTTTGGCGTGAAAATGAATGTGTTTTCCCCCCCTCTGAACTGTACAGTAGCTTCACAGACAAAATCCGTGTGTGTGACTTGCAGTACAGCCCACAAAGCTTGATCTCGGACGTTTGCCGAGCATTCTATGAAGTCACGAAACCGATATGCCATGCAGGAATACCGTTGGTCGAACAAAAAATGGACGAGATGGACCGACGTCCCATTAGCGACCTTTGTCATGATATTCGTAATATTATCCAGGATTCGAAATGGGGCGAGTTGTTTACCTATTCCACTGTTAGCATTCTGAGAGACGCCGACAATCTCAACTGTGAACGGCTCTGTGGCATCGGACAGCAACTTCACGGTGTGTGTTCTGCCTTGGCTTTCACTGTTGCCGCACGCTCTGGCAAACTAGAAAGCACAGGAATTCTCCCACCACCACCACCAGTTGTCCCCCAGATGTCATCCGAGACTCAACAAGCTTTCCCAACCCAGCAACAGTACAACGACGATGCCCCACTACCTGTATACGGTATGCCGATTCAAATAACTTGGCGATGGGTTGCATGTGCACGTTTTCTTAACCCACTCTTTCTCTCCCGAAAGTTGATTTCCGTACCACCATCAACTACTTTCCAAAATTACTGTTTCACCTGTGCATGACGCATGTTGCATTGGCGACTCGTTCTCTTCATGTGAAATACGAACCATGAGGCTCTCTTTTTGCTACCTGTTGTTTTGTTTTCTTTATTTTGCTAGGGCATATTTGCTTAAGAAATACATGTACTTCACCTGTCACTTGCATCTCTCACTCTAAGCTGTGGATTAACCAAGAGATAATACATAACATGGACAGACATCCTCTAAGAACGAATCCCTGCTCTTAGGGAACTAATACATTTTTAAGTTCAATATATTGTAGATAATTTCCTAATCACCAATTATATTGAGATGTCTACAGCATGTATGGCTTCATTTAGGGGCTTTATTTGAAGAGTGTTAGTGGAACAATATTTTCACAACCAAATGTTGAAAAGAAATTTATATATCTTACTGGTTCAAAGTTTATAAACGATTGGCAGATTATTCTAGAAGGACCCCCCCCACCCCCACCCCCACCCCCACCCCATTGCAAACAAATGTCTTTCTCTTACTTATAGTTGATTTAGTTGGAACATAGATCTTTTCTAATTTATAAAATTCCTAAATCTAATTTATATGTAGTATCATCACTACATTCAGCTACAGATCATTAATTACCAGCATATTAATTAAATAATATAGATTATTTTATTTATCTTAGCCCTTAACATGAATAGCTTTAAATCCTTCTGTCAACTGAAATCGGTAAAAATAATGTTGTGCTTCAGACAGAGAGAATAATGAAAAATATTGCGATTCTTTGGTATTTGAAAGAGATGCATGAGAAATTAATTTTGCTGAGTTTTGAAAAATTATTGTCTGCAGTAGCTCACTCATGAATCTGATAGTTTTGTTGCTCTTCAAAACCTAATTGGGTGTTCGCAATGATAATTGCCATATTTTATTTTTTAAATTGTTGATTGAGATAATTTCAAATATCATTGTTGCCCTAAACAAGAAACAACCCGAATAAGCTAAAATACAGATTGGAATTTGCGCCCCAGTGTGTTAGACACAGGTCCCATTTCATTTAACAGTTGTTGCAAGTAAAACGTTTTGGATGCAGTATCACATTTGTATAAGGTTTTGGGCACTTTAAAGTTTATGATAGGCATGGAGTTTGGCTTATTTTCTGATGTGGCACAAACTAAATTATTAGAGACCATCTGTGAATTTAATCTCTGCATTTATAATAACAACACAAGTCTTGTCATTTGTGGATTACAAATACTTTCAATCATATTTGTGTTAAACCTGAATGGCTTCTTGTTTTAGATTTCTAGTAAGTTAAAGCATTTATAAAGAGAACCTGTTAATCCCAAAGACTGCAGCATGGAATTATGGGACCACAGTGTATGTTGTTATATATACCGCATACACTTGTGTAAATTGCAGAGCTGTACTTGGTTTATTTGTAAAAAAAACAGATTCCACAGGGACCCATAAAGAGGGCCTATGATTTAGTGTGATGTTAGTTACTATAGACTTAAACAAGTTGCTGCTTTATTAAAGGATAATGTCTGGGATTCCATGTTTACATTGTGGGGCACTGTCAACCAGATAATTTGTTTTCAATTGAAATAATATCACACTGAATATGCGTTATTTTGATTAAAATTAATATTGTTAATTAATTAGTATTATTAACCTTTACACTTGCTGTTTAAAATAATTAGGCGAATGTATGCAATTTTATGTAAAATAACATGCACATTGATGTCGCCACAGTGGTTTTAGGGAGAACGCTGGTGACAGCTGTCTCAGGATTTTTTTTTTCTAAGTAGAGTGTCTCACTATAGACAGTGGTATGTAACACAAGTTCTGATTGGATGAACACTTCACTTCCCAGACGATTTTTTGTCAGTACCAATCAAATTGCAGGAACGTCAGATAGTGACAGCCATCAAAGAGTTGACATAATGTGTGATAAGGTGCTGGCAAATTTTCACACACTGTTTATCATGATTGCCTACAATGCAAGCACAGCTTTGATTGACAGTGTTACCATGACCACCAAAATGAATATTCATGCCTACATGTCAGGCCAATATCAACAGTGTGTTCGATAAAGTATGTAATAATTTTATAATAATTTACCAAGAGGACATCATTTTGACATAATATGTATAATTAGAGGAATGTAATAAAAATGTGTGTTTACACTAGGTACAATGTAATATGTTCCCTGATTAACCTCTGCAAATGAAGTATTGAACATGAGCTGTTCGTATGGTTAAGTTACATTATAACTTGTAAATAGCATGTCTCTTTTGCACCTGCATATGTGTACAATGCTTTCATTGCACTTGTCTACTATGGCCATGCACATTTCTAATCTTTAGTCTACCTTGTGTCTGACCTGCATAATACACTTTTTTTTTGACACATTCTTCTTTAAATGCACATGTAACCCACACCTGAAAGATTCTAACTTTCCAGATCGCTAACCAACAATTGAAATAACAGTTATCAGTTATCGCATTTCTTATTTACAACTTATTCAAATTCAAAGTATGTCTTATAATGGATGCCTTATCAACCATAATATTGAGCATAGAGTGGATACAATGTTGATGCTTGTAATGAACACTCATAGTGTACAACTCCAAACCACCTTTTTTTAAAACCATTCAAAGTGTACATAATATATTACTTATATATTGATGATAAAGAAAGTAGATAATGCATTTATTTACTGTGTGATAATTTCTGCAGGCTGCAAATTGTTTGCAAATTTGCGAGTCAGGAAATATTGTTTCTCAGAGTTTAAAAATTACATGTATACTTTGCAATACAATCGATACAGTAATTTTTTAATACATTTTTTTTAGTAAAACATAAAATATGTGTCAGCCTCTTTTGTCATTTCACAAATCTGTTCTTGACAATATTGGGTAATGCAGCTGGCTGTGAATGTGTATATTTATAGATGCTGTTATTATGCAATACAACATTACGCTGTATGCAGTTCAACTAGTACAGTAGTTGTGGTAATTTAAGTGAATGTGTCAAACACATGTAACATGCAGAAAGGTGGATTAGGACCAGATATGTGTATGGTATTACCAGGACATGTTATGGCGTTTCAGCATATTTTTGGAAATGTGCAGAGAATATTGAACCTATAATTTACAGATCCAGGAATTAATAAAAAAAGAGCTTTTGCATGGCCAAGTTGTCAGGTGATTTGATGATGGGTATCCTGGGCATACAATGTTATGACTTGAAAGTTAAATGTACATGCATGTATTTAGTAACATACCATACAGTTTTTGAGTCATTTATTACTATTGCCGTGCATTTATTGTCTTTCCCTCATCCTTGCATTGTACAGTTGTGGCGCACATTTTAATCACGGCAGTGGTGGTCTAAACTTACACAGAGAAAACACAAAACACTTGACTAATATGATCACCCATGTCTGTGAAATCATTGCTTTAATATGATGCACAAATATACAATTACAATGTCTGAGCTAGTCTATTCCAGCCTCAATATTATGCTGAATAATTTCTGATTGAAATGCTTTGCTAGTGAGATTTATGTGTGAATGTATATGAGACAGATGGAGCAAAAGCCATAATGTACATGTAAGCATAAGCCTAAGTGTACGTTCTCATACAATGTATCTTTCTATTGTAAACAAAAGCCATACTGTACATTGTACATGTAAGAACAGCATCTTATTCAGTCCAAATTGATCTATTGTAAAGAATTGTAGGGTTTTTTTCATATGAGCAAAAAATCTGTCCTTTAGGTATCATTTTTTCTTCTACTTGTAGCTTGCTGGGTCATTCAATCTCTGTAGTCTTTTGTAAACTGCTATCATTAACTATGCTAGAAATCCAAATTTGGTTACAAAATTAGCAGATGTGTGAAATGATTATCCTCCTCGACTACTAGTACCCCAATCTGGCCAAACTGATTAAAATCTGATGTAGACATTTGCTTGGTTTGACGGTGTACTTAGTACAAAACTACATGTGAGCAAATGAATTCATGTATTGTGCTCAGTTATTGTACAGTTAGCAACCAATCATAATTTGTGTTACAGGCTACTTCTTCTCATCAATTTGATAAGATTGGTGGTGCACCATTAAAATTAGGCTTGTATGCCAATGCTCTGTAATCCACCTGTGTACAGTACAGGGGATAAGGGCATCTCTACATGCATTGGAGTATATATGCCATTGCACATACCATACTTGGCCTTGCAGTTCACTCATTCTGCAATTGAACAACCCTGTACCAAGGGTGGATGTCTGCAAGGGTATTAATCTAGTCCGTATCACTTATTGCCCAAAGAGTGGGTGTCTCTGAGGGTGTTTATGTGGCCTCAGCCACATTCTGGCCCAAAGGTGGGTGTTCACAAAGGTGTTAACCTGGTCTTTGCCTCTTTCTACCACAAAGGTGGGTGTCCACAGGGTGTTGATCTGGTCTTTGCCTCTTTCTACCCCAAAGGTGGGTGTCCACAGGGTGTTGATCTGGTCTTTGCCTCTTTCTACCCCAAAGGTGGGTGTCCACAGGGTGTTGATCTGGTCTTTGCCTCTTTCTACCCCAAAGGTGGGTGTCCACAGGGTGTTGATCTGGTCTTTACCACTTTCTACCCCCAAAGGTGGGTGTTTGCTAGAGTGTTGATCAGGCCTCTGCCAATTTCAGCCCCAAAGGTGGGTGTCTGTAAAGATCTTGATCAGGCCTCTGCCAATTTCAGCCCACAGGTGCATGTATCCTGTCAGATTTTCAACACTCATCATCAAATTTGTTATGTACGTTAGTCTTGTACAATAACAAGTAGTATTTCAAAGCAGTCCAATCATTAGAGAAAACATCACATTGTTGATAATTGAAAACTATCACCATGGACTCTTGCTAAATCAATGTTATTTTTTGAATTATAAAGGATACATATCAATATTAAGTTATAAAAGAATTTTGCAGCAGAGCTGTAATGCATTTGGGTGTAATTGTTTCCAATGATAAAACTGTATAGAATCAACTCTCAAAACAAGATAGTTGACTTCTCTAATTTGCCTTTTTCTTTTAGGTGATGATATATTAAAAACACCAGAGGAACATGATGATGGTCTCCCCGTTTCTGATGAGAATGGTTTTCAGTCAGGTATGACTCAAAGTGGAGAACAAGGTTTTCAATCAAATGCAGTTGGAGGAGATTCACAATCCACTTATGGTGAACAGACAGGTGCACAAACTCCTTATATTCCTCTTGAACAAGGTTACCAGCAGGCTCATGAGGTGGTGTCACCGGTTTCAACTGGAGATCAACAAGTCCCTCCTGCTTCTGGAGAAAGTGCATATGGACAGCCACCTTCCCAAACTGGGTATGGAGGAGAACAGACTGCATATGGACAACCAGCCCAAACAGGATATGGTGATGATGTAAAGTCTCCTCAAGCTGATTATGACCAAGAAGATCAGACTGAATATGGCCAACAACCTGTCCAACCTGAAGGCGTTCAGACTGAATATGGTCAACAACTACCCCAACCTGAAAGTGTTCAGACTGAATATGGTCAACAACCTGTCCAACCTGAAGGCGTTCAGACTGAATATGGTCAACAACTACCCCAACCTGAAAGTGTTCAGACTGAATATGGTCAACCTGCTCAATCCAGAAGTCATTCTGAATGAACCTGTTTATGGTGAAGGAGTTCAGAACGAGTATGGTCAACCTGCCCAACCTGAAGGTGTTCAGAATGCATATGGTCAACAACCTGCCTATGGAGAAGCTGTTCAGACTGGATATGGTCAACCTGCCCAACCTGAAGGCGTTCAGAATGAATATGGCCAACCTGCCCAACCTGAAGGCGTTCAGAATGAATATGGCCAACCTGCCCAACCTGAAGGCATTCAAAATGAATATGGTCAACCTGCCCAACCTGAAGGCGTTCAGAATGAATATGGTCAATCTGCCCAACCTGAAGGCATTCAGAATGAATATGGTCAACAACTTGTTCAGACTGAATATGGTCAGCAAACTGGCTTAAGTGAAGAAGTAAAGACAGGATATCAGCAACCTGGTCAAACTAGCTATGGCGAAGGAGTCCAGAATGAATACATTCAGCAAGCTGCAAAAGAAGATGGAACTTCTGACACCACTTATGGACAGGCCTCTCAGCCCAATGTTGAAACAGGACTTCAGCAACAAAACCTCTTCGGACAGATTCCTGAGGAAAGTGGCACACAACAGGTTGTTCCACAAAGTGGAGAACAACAGGCTTACCCACAAAGTGGAGAACAACAGGCTTACCCACAAAGTGGAGAACAACAGGCTTACCCACAAAGTGAAGAACAACAGGTTTACCCACAAAGTGGAGAACAACAGGTTTACCCACAAAGTGGAGAACAACAGGTTTACCCACAAAGTGGAGAACAACAGGTTTACCCACAAAGTGGAGAACAACAGGCTTACCCACAAAGTGGAGAACAACAGGTTTACCCACAAAGTGGAGAACAACAGGTTTACCCACAAAGTGGAGAACAACAGGTTTACCCACAAAGTGGAGAACAACAGGTTTACCCACAAAGTGGAGAACAACAGGTTTACCCACAAAGTGGAGAACAACAGGTTTACCCACAAAGTGGAGAACAACAGGTTTACCCACAAAGTGGAGAACAACAACAACAAGGATTGCAACCACAGGTACCTAACACAGCAATGCAATTTCCAGGAGGTGATGGAGCTGGAACCATTGCGCCTGAGAATCAACAGTTTACACAGCCATTCACAACAGGTGAAGGCAGTTTAGTTGGTGATAATGCCATTGACTCTGAGGATAGTGAAGCTTCTGAATCGGATGCATCAGAGTCAGACTTTGATTCCAGTGAATCTGCTGGTGACAGTTTTATTGAAGAACTTGAAAAAGAATTTGAAAACGAAGATTCTGGTAAAAGTAGTAAACAGGTATGTAAATGTTAATATTCTTCATATCCATGTATATATGTGTTGTGCAAGGCAAACAATATGCATAGCTTATTATCAAGATAGTTTGAAACAAAGACGTATGTTTGGGCTCTCTTTATTTATGCATCCAATGTCATTTCTTTGATGTGGCTGCGCTGATTTTGTTCAAAGTTGGATCAGAGACAGAACAGGATATATGTAATACACATATACAATTTTATTTTTCTTTGTTTTATTCATCAACTGTTGGCCTTTTTGTCCCAATAAGCAATGTGAATTCCACAGTTGTTCAGGCATGCCTGTGTCAATTCTTGCTACATATGTATATCATTTTGTTGCAGGATTTTTATTTTAAAATCACTGACTGATGTAAATTTTGTTTAAATTTGTTAGAAAGGCAGGACATAATGGGTTTAAGGTTTTTCATTTATTTTTAGATTGTGATGAAACTTAACTGACAGGCAACCATTTTTTAAAAAAGAAAGACTGAAATCACAAAACTTGCCTGGACTGATTTTATGCTTGTCATGAACATCATAAGCTACCAATACACATCAGTTTCTATGGTGATTTGATTCAAAATCGTCAACATGCTTCAACAGACTGTGATCAAAGAAAAGACAGAATGCTACATTGTATACACATCAATATGTCTTTCATTTTGATGACCTTTGACTGACTTACCTGGATTAACCTTTTTACCACAAATTCACAAAATAGACAGGTTTATAGTCTGCACTTTCCTTCAGAAGATTGGGACAAAAAGAGCCAAATCTTTTGAAAAAAAAAAGTTGATTCAAACTTTGTCTGTTTGCTCCAAAATTAGGGTTCATTTCCAGAAATATTTAAGAATAAAAGAAAAAAGTCCAGAAAAATTTTGGCTAAAAGTCTGGTGGTAAAAAGGTTACAGATTCACATTGATCATAAATAACTTATGGCTTGATCTGTATAATGTTTTGTTTTTTATTTACCACTGTGTATGAGGCAGAAATAATCAAAATAACCATTTATCACTCGACCACACCTATGCAAGGCTTGAACCGCGAGTTAAGAGGGCACCTGCTTTCAATGCCAAATTACTTAAATTGCTTTAGCATATAGAAATAATACAGGTAATATCTGTATTTTTTAAAGGGCTTCAAGTCAAACTCATTGGGCATCAAGCCAGATTGCCTTTGATGCCTCTGTCAAGTTCAAGCCCAATTTACAGCTACTTCTCTCAAAGTTCAACTTGGATGTATTGCTATCCTCAGACTTGACAGCATTTTCACCAACTAAACTACCTTCACCTGTTGTGTTTGACTGCTGCGTAAAGTGTGGATTGTCAGATGCTATAGTTCTACTAATAACTCAAGAACCACTCAACAGATTTTGATATCATTTGATACAGTGGTTCTGGAATACTCCAGACATGATCAATTTTGGTTTGACATCCTTACATGTTACTTGCTTAACCTTTTCACCTCCAGTTCCCTGTTTTCATCACAAATTCGCAAAATAGTCCTTTTTATAGTCTGCACTTTCCTTCAGAAGATTGTGACAAAAGTAGCAAATTGTACAAGTAAAAACTGAAAATTTACTAAAACTTTGCCTGTTGGCTTCAAAATTAGGGTTCAATTTCCAGAAATATTGAAGAATATAAGAAAATAGTGCATACAAATTTTTGGGAAAAAGTCTGGTGGTAAAAAGGTTAATTCTTAACTGTTCAACAGATATTTCAATAAACACTGATCGGATTTCAATGAGCCTTGGTACATTGGTGTTCTGGGACCTCTTTAGTTTAGGGTTGAAATCCATGCATAACCTAATTTGCAATAACTTTTCTAATTACCACAAAATTTTCTACTTTTTTTTAACATAATGTAATGTAAAGCTCATGATGCTCATCTCTGTTTTGCCAAATGTAGTAAAAGGGTTGACACTTCCATAAAAGAGTAGATATTGTGCCAACAGTTTTTTTTTTTTTTAACCATTTTTCATCATAAATGTATCAAAGATAAAAAGTATGATAATTGTAGTATTGAGCCTACATGTATACGCACCAAATATTGTACATTACAAAACACAGATTTGTGACAATAATAAATTGATTCAGTGCAGGCTGTTACAAGATATGTGGAGAGAGGGATTTGTAGGTATCAGCTGGAATACAATAGTGTGTACTTGTAGCAGCCTGAGTTGATATCATGCTTTCGTCACATGTACATAGCATGTTACCATACCACTGGTAATAAATTATAACACTTTTAATTTAGATTTACAATGATTATGATTAAAAAATCATCTTAAAATTTTCTTTCAGTTTTCTGAAAACATGGTACATGTACAAATATACTTATTTTCAAATTATGAACCTTGTGACCAATTTTCAATTCAAAATGGTCTTTTAATTTGGTCATTTATTTTATCAATTGTATTTGGCTAAGTTCCCATTCAAATTCCCACAATTTTACTTAGTTAGGCGTGTCCACCCACCACAATTTTACTTAGTTATGCGTGTCTATCCACAAGATATTTAATTTATAAATCAGCAACCATAGAAAATTCATCATTGTGGGGGGGGGGGGGTTGTTAGAATAAGGTTTGAATGAAATATATTTGCATACTGCATTATTTGATATGTCTAGCGTTTAATAACATTTGACCTTTACATAAAAGTTATAGGAATTGAAACTATCTACCTAAAATGCCATAGCCTTAGATTTCACCTCTTTAATTGTCATTTGATCTGTTTGGGGTACATCTTTGTACATAATTAAAATAATAGAATCCCACTTTCCATTATTTGTCCCGGTTCTGGAATGTTAAAAATGGTCTGTTGATATTTTTCTTTCTTTCTTTTGTGCAATATTTTTAAAATACTATGTACAGCTTTGACACTGGTCTGCACACTGACCAAAATTATTAAAAATTATATTTCGTCCTAATATCACTAATAATTGAAATTCTAAATTTGGTGTAGCTGTGATTCTGCAGTGGTCAATTACAGTGTATTTACTGTAAATTATTTTAATTTTGGGAGAAACAAATTTCGCATGTCAATAACAACTGTGAAATTTTGTAACAGTAAACTTTTCTCTGGTGTCTTACAAGTATCCATCACTTTTGCAAAATTTTGTTTTCAAAAATATCGAAAACTTCTGAAATTGAGAAAATTTGTATCAATTTCTTTCTGTATTATTTATGTATCCTGTGTGGTAGTAGAATGGATTTTTACATATATTGCAATGTATAATTGATTATTTGAGTACATCTGTTTAACTTACAGTCAAATTTCCATACCTACATCGCTGAAGAAGAGTCAACAAATCATCACTTCTTGGCATATTCACTCACAGCTATTATTCTTGTCATGGGAGCCTATGTGCTGTACCACAACAAACAAAAGGTAAAATACACACTCAAAATCTCAGATAGTTTCACAGTCTTTTCTGATAAAACTCCCCTGTCCATTGTGCCTCTCAAATGTTTTGACCCCCCAGTAAAAAAATATTTTGGTTTTAAATTTCATATCAAATTTCACATCTCTCAATATTTTGTATTCTTTCCTGTTCATTGAATAAAATACTGAAAATGTTAAGACATTTTGTTTAGAATTAACGAAACAAACTTAGAGAGCAAAATGTTACTGGAATTTTCGGTGGGAAAAAAGAAACAGATGATATACTAGTATACGTGCATGTACATGTATCATCTCTTAATTCAATCTAGTCAAAATTAAAGGCTCAATCGTGCCATCTCAATGGCACTTAAACATGTACATGTGTCATCTCTTAATTCAATCTAGTCATAATTAAAGGCTCAATCGTGCCATCTCAATGGCACTTAAACATGTACATGTATCATCTCTTAATTCAATCTAGTCAAAATTAAAGGCTCAATCGTGCCATCTCAATGGCACTTAAACATGTACATGTATCATCTCTTAATTCAATCTAGTCAAAATTTAAGGCTCAATCGTGCCATCTCAATGGCACTTAAACATGTATATGTATATTATGTCCTACACTGTCACAAGTAAGTATTGATGCCAAGGCCAGTGAGATCTTCATCACATGTCATCCTAGTTTATATATGCTATTATCTACTTGTGTTGATAATTTCATTATACAAACTGTAGTACATGTATTGTGTGAGCTCATTTGTGACTCTTAGCTGCATTCTAGACTTGATTGTAGATCAGATATTAACCCTGCAAAGACTATTGGTAAATATTGCCAGATAAGAGAATCAGTTTCTTGTACTTCCTGTTCTTGCCAATGGAAGAGTGAGAAGTTGTATTCTCACAAATGAAGTGGCTAGAATAACTACAATTCTCACAGTATTGCAAGAAACACTTCCTCGCTCTAATCTCACACTGTTTACCTATAGTGAAATTGCAGGGCTTGAACTTACAGTGAATAGTAGAAGCATTACAAAGTCATCAGTGTGTTTGCTCATCTAACATGAATATTGTTTCAGTGTGCAGGTTTGGTGGCTTAATATGGTAACATTAATATTACTTTAGTATACAGGTTTGGTGGCTTAATGTGGTAACACTAATATTGTTTTAATATACAGGTTCGCTGGCTTAACTTGAAAAAGTTGCCTCTGCACTACCTAATGTTTAACCCTTGAATACTCACTCTGTGTTTTTGTTTGTGTAATCTATTCGTGTGTGCCTTCCCTACGTGTAGCTAGCTTTATTAGCATTGCAAATCAATGTTACACTTTTAATTAATTTAACTTTGCGAGAGAAAAAGTTTCACAAGTCAGTAAGAACCACAAAATTTGTAATATGGAAAACAAAATCGCACGACTTTCGCAAAATTCAATAATTCCTGTTAGGAAAACAGTTTACATAGTTTGTAATCTAAAGTCGCTGGTGACCTTACCAAATGGTACTTCCTTTTTATCCGTTTGTTGCCTGTGTATACTAGTACACATAAAATGCAGTCATGCATGGTTTATCCCTTGTCTACTTTTGTATGTCTTCATACACCTTTCTCATCACTTTCATATTGTGTTACTTTCATATTGTATTTGATATAAGTATCTGTATATATAAAACTCCCCGTTGCAATTATAATTAAATTTAATAATAATTATGTTCAAAATTTTTAAATATCTACTGCGTCATAGATATCATTATGAAAATTAATTCCCTCGCATCTGCTACCAGCAGATCTGATTGTTTATTGATAGGGCATGTTTGCATTCATTTATTTGCTTTATTTTCTACATCACGCACTCCTGTTTTTCTTTCCTCCTGTAATGTACGCTCTTCGTGTCGCATCTGTTCTTTTTTAGATTGTTGCTATTGTTATTGAAGGAAGGAATCGGGCTAATGAAAGGCGGAAAACAACTAATGGGACTGAGTACCAAAAGCTTACACAGGAGATCCCTGAAGCTTAACAAAATACAGACCTATTTTGTTCCTTTTTTCTTAGATTGTTGCTATAGTTATTGAAGGTAGACATCGGCATGGAAGACGGAGAGGAGGAGAAGAGGATGGATACAAGAAGCTTGAACAAAGTGTCAGTGAAGCCATGCCGACATTACAGGCCACAAAAACTTCAAAAGAGTATGTTTTTTAATTAAGAGTAAAATGCATTTTCACAAAGCAGCTGTGAATAAAGTGAAAGCTTTTGATATTTGATTCATCATCTGTGGATCTTGATAGAGTATCAGGATGGACTTTTTAAAAATGGGTTTTCAGCTGTAATATGTAAACATATCATTTCCAATACCTACTTAGTTTTATGTTGGCTTTGGTCTCTTTGACATTTTTCATGCCATAATATTTTCATTTTATTTTGTGGGTTTCTTTTTTTTGTTTATAAAAAATGAAGAGCATCTGTTTTAAAACAAGATCAGATTCCATCTCAGATTCTTCAGTTTTTAAGTTGCAATCTTTAATGGTTACATGACTCGCACAGTGCTATGCTATTTCTAGTTATTTACACAAATATGCAAGGACGCTATACTTAGAAGGGAAATAAAAATCTTTTATGCAAAGTCTATGTAGCATCTATGATTGCCTATGTCTATCTTCAATTTATCTGCAATTTAATGCATGTACCGGTACCAATGAATTGCTGCAAGTAATATCAAACCTATCTTGATTTAAGGCTGGAAGAGTCGTTACCTGCACATGCGACAGATGGCGCGTCATTGTTTACATAGTGTCTATCTATTAGTCTTGGATTTAAGCATGTGTTATCATTGCTTAGAGCTCATTTCCTCTTTAATCTAATAAACGCCTTAGCCGAGGTGTTTTCTTGTTTCATCTTTCATTGTTTCAAAAGTATTACTATGGTAATGCATACATAAAAATTAATCCTAAAGTTTAAATAAAATGTACAAAAATTATGAAAAAGATTTGAAAAAAAACACTGGGTGGTAAGTTTTGATAGTAATATTTGCAAATACTATGTTATTTTCACCTGATCTAATTAATAAAAAGAATATTATGGTAACTGATACACATGCTCTTGGAGTTTTCAAAAGTTTGTTTATAGTATTGTAAAGTAGTTTGTAATTTATGAAGGGTTTTATAAATTATATACAAAATGGACTTCTTTATTTCTTATCTTTCATATTTCTTGGTGCTAATTACAAATTAGAGTGACCTGGGGCTAAACAGACTGTAACGCATACAATTTGCTCATTTTGAATTTAGATACATGTAAAATATTACCAATCTTATTGTGGTATTGAACATTTTGTTGTATGTAGCTAACATCTTGATTTAGCAAAAATACAGTGTAGCTAAAATACTAGCTAAAAAAAAGTGTATGCTTTACAGTATGATTTCCCCTACAATGCAATACAAACATGTGCACTGCTCTCTGGAGGCACATTTTTACAGCATGTTTAACTATTTTGGATATACTAGATTTTGTATGAAAATATCTACTTAAAGTGTATTTTGATAGTTGTTTCTATGGAAATGAGACATTTTTCATATCAGGGTTATTAATAAAGTGTATCTGCAAATAATGTAGTTTTAATTTGGTGTCAACACCATGACTTGTACTGTTGATGGTTGAGTCTGTGCCTGGCGTACGTTTTCCTTTACTCTGTAGTTAAGATAGAAGCCTATTCTTAAATGAAAATTCCCAGAATTTGTTCATAATTCTATGAATTGTACTTTGGGCTGATATAAACATGTTGTTTTACATAGAATTCGGAGGTCACCACTCTATTTTATTTGAGAAAAGAATGTTAGAATTCTAGATAATGGCCGCCATTTTGTCATTGTCAATACCATTAGGTCCTATGTAGGCTTGTGACAGAGTGGAAAATGACATATCGTGATATTGCTATCCTGTAAAATTTGATATTTGAATAATTTTCTCAAAATATGGAATTAAAACCACAAAATAATGCTGTTTCTGTAATTATACATTGTAAACAAATTACCATTATGTAATTGATGCCCAACTTTCACAACTAATTTGAGTAGGGTTCCACCTTGACATTTTTGTACCATATTTGCTAAAAGTTAATAATTTATTTTGGGCTAATGACATATATTTGGTGTTTTTGGCAACTGGGTTTGATTTGCATCAATTTACTGACTTCCAGCAAAAGTATTCTGAAAGTGGTGTACAATAATATCTTTGACCAGTAATTACACTAATGTATTAAAAAATTGTAGTTAAGTGGACCAAGAAATGCTTTAATATCTTGTGAAAACCAATATTTGTGTGATAAGCTTCACAAAAATAATTTTCTGGATGAAATAAAATTAAATATTAATACAAAAATTAAATTCCTGCTTGATTTATGCTGTTTACGCTAGTTGTTTCTATAGTAACTGCCTGGCTTTATTATGTCACTGGAACACAAGTGATATGTTTAGGATATCAGATTTATTAAACGAGTGAAGATAAACATTTTTATGTTCCCAATGTGTGTTGAAATTATGACATGTATTAGCTCCACTGTCGACTTGTCAAGCGGAGCTTATCTTATGAGGGATTGTCCGTCATCGTCTGTGCCAACTTTTTACTTTTTTGACTTCTTCCTTGGGCAGACCTCTTAGATTTGTTCATTTTGTAATATCTTTAATTCTCTAATTTTGATGAATATTTTTGCTAAAAAGTGATATTTTCAACTCGTTGTTGAAAATCGCAAGTCTGATTGCTTTGATACTATACATATTGTTCATTTTCTAATGATATCTTCAGTTCTTTAATTGAAATGTGCATTGCTAACAGCAGAGCTATCTCAGCGGCCAGGCTGCTTGTTTTGTATTCACTTGACAACTTTACATTGCCAAACCTGCCATCAGAATAGTTTGTATGACATATGCAATGAACAAGCTTTGCATCTTATTTTCAAACATGACAAACGTTTTGCATTTAATTTGCATTCAAGAACACCATTCCTTGAATGCAGTTTATTTCGTTCAATTACAAATTTTTTTTATTTATGGTGGGGGCAATAAATTTAATAAAACATTCAAACTCTGATATGTTATTAACAAGTGTGGTCTGTACGTTTTTATGAAAATCTAAATTTCCCTAAACCTGTGTCAGTCATCACCTCTATATAAAGATCAGCTTTCAGCTTGACTGTACATTTGATAAAAACAAGGTAACATTGTGTTCAGGTTGAGCTTATTCCATATTAACTGGACGCTTTCTCACTCGCCATAGCCACTCGTACTCACAACTGGCAACTTCCTGGAAATTCCTGTCGGGCTATCATCACTCGAATACATAAAAAAGATTCTCATGCGGTGGTAAATAATAACTACAGGGGTATCTCGGTAATGAGTAAATTTTACCAAAATTCTTATTACACGGTTAGAGAAATGGTGTAACCATTATTACTAAAGGCCAGGCATGTTTCCGTCGTGGCTACCGAACTTATTGATACCATGGATGGCAAGCTTCAGCGAAACAGTGTAGGACGATGTCCCTGGTTGGGATAACGAAGTATCATACGCGCCAGGGAGGGCGCTTCTATTTTTTATCGACATTTCGAAAGCATTCGATAATATACGACATGATATATATATATATAATAGTGTAAATTAAGTATGGAACTATTAGCGTATTTTACGTTCAATGTACAGTAAACTTGAAACTTGTGTGAAAAAACACAGGATTATTAGGAAAGCTAATGACGCTGCCGGAAATGTGGTCGTTTACAAATGTGTCAAATAATGGCTTAAACTGTTCAACATGAAATGAAATAGAAACATTATATTACAATGTTATTCAATGGTAAAGACGAGGAGTAATAACGTACACTGGACGTACTACGTTGAGCATGCTTTGTCATGGATTTGGAGAGATGCGGTTAAACTAGGGTGTAGGTAACACTGAAGTGTTTGTAAATACCTTTGGGCAGAGATGGATTCGTGGATACTGCATACTCCGAAACTATTAAATCTGTTATAAAATTATAAGATTATTCAAGTTGTGTTCTTACTTACAGAATTGCCTTAAGTTATCGTGGTTCATCACATACAATGTACGTTGAAGTCGGTAGGCATAATAATACGCCTGTATAATGATAGAATATGTCACAACTGCATAACACCGAGATATAAAGAACGAATTCCATTGTATTTGTCAGTGTATGTCGTAAATATGAGCTCTTGACTCGTATATACACTGCACTATGGTATTATTTCGTCTATCCGTATCGTGAGAAGTTTAAATTTATTTTCTGTTCTTTTCTTTAATCCCTTATCCGAATAATCTTGCTGCTTTTATATATAACCGTTAGTACCTTCCATGATATAACACATCGAAAAGCACGGTGTGAATCAAGTTAATTTATGTTTTCCTCTCTCAACGAAATTAAATTTGTATAAAAGTGTCACTCTGGGCAAACTACTTGTAAAGAATGATGAAAAACGTAATATCAAAGACGACACGTGACAACTGAATATTTCATATTACTTTGTTCCAGCTGTTTTTTCAGATATGAATTAGTTCCAATATGACGTATTTATCTAATTGGATACAGTCACATGTGGTATATGCATTGCATGTGGATTGAATCAAAGCTGCTGCACCCACACAAACACGTGATTATGGAGATGAGTCATTGTATGTATTAAATATTATGAGGTTATTACGAGGATACCTCAAAGTATGCACGAAGACAGTACAGCGTGAGTGTCGACAGACGCGCGGCGGAGGTCACTGCGCCGCGTACTATACTGTACGCGTAATAACCTTATTATTATACATCTTTTCTCCTTCCAAGTGTACATCATGGGAATGCCGAAATCCAAAAAGTTTAGAACAGTATCAGCGAACGTTTTTGTGTGGAGTCAAGCCAAACCCTGGTGGCATCCATGTTTGTTTTTAGGGCGTTACGGTGACAGATGTACAATAATGTAGACTATAGATGGCTGAACACAATTATATCGTCATTACAAATTCTGTCTAGACTCAGTATTTTGTAATGAAAATTCTTTATGATATCTAATAGACATTAAAAAAAAATTCCTCACATAATTAAAGTGTGAATTTACAATAATACGTGCTGTCACGTTTAAATAGTTACACTGTAGGTCCACCCATACATGTACC